AGCCATGAGTTAGGCCGAAGGGTCGGTTTCTGTGCTGTATGATATGACTGTTTCACATCCACTATTGTCAGCGATACCCTGAAGAGGATCCATATTTACTGTAACCTCCTGTTTAAAATAAGGTGCACCAATGATGTTTCTAATAAGATGAAAATTAAAGCAGGATGGGCAGATAGTCTCCACCATCTACATGTTTCCCTGCAGGTCACACACCATCCTGCCTTTGAAATGTATTGCTCTTCCTTCACTGTTACCGGGTCAAAATCCTGGATCTCCCTGTCTAACTGAATTGAGAGTAACCTTACATCCCATAAACTGTGGTGGTTCAAGAAGACAGCTCACCACCACCTTCTCCAGAGCAGTCGAGGCTGGGCAGCAAACATTAGCCATTTCCAGTGAGAACCATATCCCGTGATAGAGACATGCGCTCTGCTATACCATTCCAATCATCTTCAGATTGAGAATCGTTGTGATTAAAACTGTTGAATGGAGTCACTCAGAAGGATCACTCCAGTCTGAACTAACTTTTCACGATGGTGCATCTGCACCAGTTTTAGATGCACAGTCCTGGTATTGTCTAAAATACCAAGTTGATTTCTGAACATTCAGGAGGAACAATTTGTGCCTTGAAAGTGGCTAGTATGTGAAACCTACCAGTACATGAACAAAGAGGGCTTGAGGCATGGAAGGAGGCATGAGATATAAGGTAAAGTTGCTATTGTCTTACTAGACCATAGTACTGCTCTGTCAATAGAGAGAGAGAGATGTCTCGTGGTGGTTTAACCTGACAGACACTATATGTCAGACGTGGGGAAAGGCTGAGGAGAGTTCTTTGTGGTAAGCTCAGCTAGTAGGGATATTACGTCCAAGCTGTTGGCATCACTATGCGCAGGAGAAAGAAATAGAAGGAAATGATGATGGTTTTAAATAAATTATTGCTGGAAGGAGTCTCATAACCATAGGTAAGGATCAGCCTTGGTGAGTAACACCAAGAACTATTTGCATGGAAAGTATCCATCTCCTAAACTTATCTTTGCAAAATTGTTTCACTCTATGCTTGGGATCAGATTGCAGTGTCAGTGAATTATCAGGGACTTACTTCTTGATCCAGGTTGATTGATAAAGATATCCCTAATGTGACAGAGCCACGACTGGCACGATGGGGTTGGCATTCTTCCTACTTCCCAAACCTTGGCCAATCAGTGAAAGGTTAAAAAAAAAAATCAGGAGAAACACAAAGGATGTAAAAGAAGGAACCATCCCATTCATGCAACATTCGGAATTGAATGTGGTTTAATTTTGACTCCATTGTGAAACTTGGCATTTGTGAACATCACGGCTGTAATGTTTAAACCTCATACTGTGTCAATTGTCGGATCAGCATAAAACCAACACCAATGTCACAATTCTGGGCCCTCTTGTGTTGTGTTTGCCATTGTCTTGTGTTTTTCGTTACTCGTGGATTAGCTAATCCAAAATTCACAGGGATGCAGAAAATGAACATGCGCAAAGCTTTAATAGCAGGGAACCCAACCAAGCTTTTAATTTTCAAATATCTCCGTTTCCAGAATGTGAGGTGATTCTAGGTCAACAAGCAGAGAAGAAAGACAAAATTAAGGAAGCAAATCTGCCCTGATTTTTTCCAGCAATGTGCTGTTAAATGTGGTCCGAGCAATTTGTGATGCTTTAATCCAATACTGACTGAAACACTCAGCACCAGTTGTCAATTCACTATAAGTAATAAATTAAGCAGGCATCGTAGCTCCATCAGCAAAAGAAGTAGTCAAAATTGGAGGAAAAGATATAAACTCACTAACAGTGACTGAGAGATTACAATAGTCCTTGTTTAACTTGGGCTACCACACAGAATTCAAGGCGACATGACAATCAACTGAAGCACATTACATCTTACCTCTGAATATAATAATTTCAACTGAGCTTGGGCTGTTTTGATCTCGTATGGTTCCAGATTCTCTTTGCAGCTAGTTTTTCCTTCGGAGGGTTGTGAATCTGTGGAATTCTTTACTGCAGAAGACTGGGTCATAAGGTGTACATTCAAGGCTGAGGTAGACAGGTTTTTAATCATTGAGGAAATCAAGGGTTTTGGGGAAAAGGCAACTGAATGGAGTTAAGGATTATCAGATCAGCCGTGATTTTGTTGGATGGTGCAGTGGACTTGATGGGCCAATGGCCTATTTCTGCCCCTATTTCTTATGGTCTTATTGTCTTACAAGGTCCTTCAACTCAGATGGTTTCCTTGCTTCTTTCCCAAAGTACCTCATAATTTTAATACCAAATATCAGCCTTCATACCTTTTGCACTTCTGCTTGCCCCCAAGACGGTCCTGTTATGACCAGAAGTCAAATATAATAGTGACTGACATGGATCCACAGTTACTTCTCAATGTCCGGGTATCTTAACCTGTCACCTTAGATACTGCCTGGGAGAAACTGGCAGATGCAGGCAGGCAATAGGAAAAGTTAAGAAAAGGAATGGTACTTGAAAGTGCTTACTCCTGACGGTAGAGAGGCTAAAAGGAGACATTTCTTGCTGGGGCAGGTATGTGTCAGTGTTACAATCCCAGCTGATGTTACAATTGGACAAGTCAAATCCCAGAATGGAATCTGGCCTGATTGTTTTTTTTTTGGTTATTTGACATAATTGTTAGTCAGAATCACTCCAGTTCGAGACAGGATAGCTCAAAACATTCAGGCCCTGGGTATGGAAGAATGCTCCAGCTCCTATTTTCTTTAGATACTCCCACATTTGGCTGCAGCAAGGTTAATTTCGAAAGGCTTCTTCCCACGTGGATTCCTTTCTCCCAGACCCAGATTAAATTATGTTTTATAAAGGAGCCAATTTAACCAGGTTTTCTTGAATTAACAAAACTAATGAGATTATTAATTAACACACATGAGAATGAATATTTAACCCAAGACGAAAAAATGAGGAGAGCCAAAGAGATAAAAGTTGGCAGCACAGCGTGATTCTCTGAAACAGCTGGTCACAGGTTCAAAAAAGACAAAATACTGCAGGATACGGCTGGAAATCATTCAGCATCTGCAGTATGAGAGCTGAATTCACTGCCATTTCTCTTCCAGTTATGCCCACCTTGAAGAAGGTCTGCTCTTCTCCAACAGGATTTCCGTTCTAATCTTTCACTTGTTCACCTTTGTTGCTTTTTATCTCCCACCCTAGTGTTGAATAAAATATCACCCCCACTGGTCTCCACATTCAAAGGACCATCCTCTGCCACCACCAAACACACTTTCACCTGTCAGCATTCCACAGGGAGCATTCCCTCTCTGACATGCTGGTTCCCTCCTCCATCATTCCTAATGCTTCCCCCGCCACATCCCCACCCCTGGCCTCTTTCCATGCAATCCCATCAAAAAGTGGAACACTTGCCCACTCACTTCTTCCCTCCTCACTGTCCAAGGTCCCAAACATGCCTTCCAGCATTTCCCTCATACTTCTTTCAATCCAGTCGCTGCTCACAATGTGGTGTCAGAGTTATAGGGCACGGAAATAGACCCTTCTGTCTAACTAGTCCATGCCGACCACAGTCCTAAACTCAACTAGTTACATCCACATGCGCTTGGCCCATATCACTCCAAACATTTCCTATTGATACACTTATCCAAATGTCTTTTAAAGGTTATATCTGTACTCACATCCACCACTTCCTCTGGAAGTTCATTACACACACACACACACACACACGAGTCATTCTGTATAAAAAAAGTTGTCCCGCACATCCTTTTTAAATCTTTTTCCTCTCACCTTAAAAATACGCCCCCTACTTTTGAACTCCCCCCACCATACAGGAAAGACGCCTGCCATTCACCTTACCTATGTCCCTCATGATTTTAAAAACCTCTATAAGTTCACCCTTCAACTTCGTACGCTGCAGCGAAAAAAGTCCAGGCCTATCCACGTAACTCAAACCCTCCATTCCTGGCAACATCCTGGTAAATCTCTTCTGAACCCTCTCCAGCTTAATAATATCCTTTCTGTAGCAGGGCAACCAGAATGGGACACAGTAATCTAAAAGCCCTTACACTGGTGAGACAAAATGTAGACTGACTGCTTTGTGGAACACCTCTGTTCTGTGTGTCGCAATGATCCCAATCTTCCAGTTGCTTGCCATTTCAATAAACCACCTTTCTCTCAGGCTAACGTTTTTGACCTGGGCTTGCTGCAATGTCCCAGTGAGAACTTGACACCTCATCTTCTGCTTAGACACTTTATAGCCTCGAGGACTGAACACTGAATCCAGTAACTTCGGAATTAAAATAAAACAAAGAAGTGTGGATGCTGGAAATCTCAAACGGAAATTGCTGGAGAAACTCAGGTCTGCCAGCATCCAGGGTTACTGGACTTGAGATTTTAACTCTGATTTTGTCTTCACAGATGCTGAGTTTCTCCTGCATACTCAGTGTTGGCCACAGTGTCAAGCCCCACTTTAAGTCTTGAGTACATAAGCTAGGCTGACATCTCCATGCTGCACTGAGGGAGTGCTACAATGCCAGGGTGCCAGACTTTAGATGTGTATTAAACAGAACTTCTCTTTTACCTTTCATGATAATTTACCCATAAGTATATGAATGCCTTGGCACTACGTGAAAAAGTGCAGGGGATTTATCCTGACTGCTCAATATCGTACAAACAATACCTGGTCATTTATATCACTGCTGCCTGCAGAATTTTGCTGCGTACATACGGTCACAATGTTTCCCTCAAACAGTGACCGCCTTTCAGAAATATGATTGGCAGAACTGTCACAATGGCTGCTATACAAATGCAAAGTTGTTTGTCCCTAAGTCACAGTTTTTCCCGTACAGGCAGCTTATTGAAAAGCACTGCATTGTACTGAGATCATGACTGGTCGCAGCAACCGTTTGATGACTGTGGGCCTGTTTGTGTTTCTCATTGAAACAGCCCCCAAAGTAGACACTTACAGAATGCGAGGAACAAAGTTACAAATAAGGAAAGGAGACTTGATTTAATAACATTTATTAAATGCACTGCAAGCTTAAATATAAAAGCACACTACACCAGTTATTGAACATGCTTTCAAAAACATAAATGATCAAAGAAAAGCAGATTAATTTCTGGAAGATAAGCAATTGCCTTGGTTGTTACATATTGCATACATTCTAAGTTGTTACATTCCCAAACTTCAGCAGGAAAATTATACAGTATACAGCAATGAGTTGTAAGGCCTCCAAAACCCTGCCTTGGTCAACCTGGGGCAAGTCTAAGCTGATCTGGCTGTCTTGGTTTCTTGAAAAGTGAACTATGTCTTGTTCTCGTGTCCAATTCAGACTCAGGCCCAATTTCCAACTGGCTGTAGGTTTTAGATTTAAAAGACGTAAAATTAATTGGCAATTTTAAGTGACTGAAGAAAGACTTCATCTGCAGTGGTGGGCTGCTTCTGACTCAACAATAAGTGAATCACAAACAGTAACAAGGCAACCATGTAAAAGCAATTTCCAGAAATTTGGTCTGGCCAAGTTTTGTTTTTGTACTCTCCACGGTGAAAGATAAGCCAACTCTCTCTGCCAATGTTATGTGCTCACAGATGTACAGTACGGCCAGATACAGTTCAAAGCTCCCTTCACTCTGCTCCAATGACATGGCCCAATTTTCATCTCAAAAGCAGCATTTCCCATGATACGAGTATAACTTAGTCCACATGGAAGATAAGTGGTCATTGGAGACAGTGAAGCAGAGACTGCCATTTAGAGCAAAATGATCCAAATCATGTTACATGCAGCTAGTTACTTTGATTACTTTGGTCTAGGTTGCACTCATAGCCAGCACTCAAGTTCAAAGCGACAGTGCATTACATATAGTGTCTCATCGAGTACCAATGTTTATTTCCCCCATTGCCAATACATTTACTGCCCATTGACATATATATGATCACATACCATGGCTGAACGAGCTTCAGCAGAAGAGAGTTAATCAAATGCAGATCGAATCTATTTTAGACCATTAGCACAAAAAATGGATTTGATGTGATTTGACAATTTCTCAGATGAAATGCGTACACTAAAACATCACTGTTACATACCGAACTGATGAACTTACTTTTCTACACTTATTGCTTATGTCCATGTTTCTCCACTCGGTATTTGGGACGGCAATAATTTTGCAATGGCTCTAGTGACAAGCACATTCATTTGGACTACAGGTACTTAAGCAGTAGGCTTTTAATAATGATGTTTTTTTGGTGTAATGATGTAACAAGTCTCACAGTGAAACTCCGTTTACTGTCAGTGAACAGCAAATTATTAAAACCACAAAGTTTCTACAGCAACATTACAAACTATAATTAACAAATAGTTCAAACAGATTTCACTTCTCGAATGAAACCATTAAGTGAGTTTCTGAAAAGAAGCAATTTTCCCTTTTCAGTCAGGTCACTGTCCAAGCTTTTAAACCTTCCAAGCACGACCAAGAACCAAAATAGCTCTATTGTACCAACGACACCCACCGCCCCCTCAAAATTGAGCCTGGGTGTTTGGTCTGGTATTTGCTGAGCACTACGAGACAACACGTTTCCCAGGGCACAGAGACAACAGTCACAATTATGGTATTAATGGCAAAGGCCTCTAAAAGAGAGTCTGGTTTGAACTCTGCAGTGTTTATGTTGCTACAGTCTGCCCAGGATTCATTCACTCCCCATCGACTCAGGACAGGAATTATTCTGCCCCACAGTTAGATATCAGTGACACACTTGGGCAATATATTAAGACCGGCAGCATTCCCGCTACAAAACTCTCAGGCAGAACGGTGACATCATGCACCCCTTGGAGTGATATTTCTTTCAGATTTCTTCACAAAGATAACCTGACAATTGATTCACAATGCAATGAATTTGGCAACAAAATTGAGACTTTGATACAAAAGATCTGATAGGAATTTTTAACGTCTGCGATGTTTACTATCTCATTAAAAGCAATCCAATAAGAAATAGATATAATGGGCAATGATCTAAACATGTGATTTATTCATCCTATTCAGTTTAAGTGCTGTACCTTGTGTAGATGGCTGGGGACACTTAAAAAAGTTACTTTCCTTGAAGGAAGAGTCAGAAATGTGTAGTCATAGTTTAAAAAGAAGAAAATTCTACAAACTTAGATTGGTGGAGAGGGCTGGTTGTAATGTGGAATGAAACCAATTTTTACACATGGATGGTGTCTCATTAGGCCTGAGGTGGTAATTGCCCAGTCTAAAGTGTCAACAGAGGGGCACACAACTGTATTTGATACTGAGCAAGTAGTCATCCACCAGCAATGAGTTTTGTCAGAAAGGTTAAATAGACAAACTATTACACATTAGCATCGTGGGTAGGTTTGATGTGAGATACAGAGAAAGACTAGAAATATTTAACATTGAATGCACCAAACATACCGACCCTTCAGATTGCAGCAGGGTTGTAAATTTAGGTTGTAGATCACTTTTAGGATCTTGGGTGTGCCCGATGGTGTAAATTTAACTAGTTTCGATCCAGACTTTTGACATATTGGTACAGGCACAATAAATGGGCACAAGATTTTAACATCTCAAAGTTCAAAACAAGTAGGCTCTGTAGAAATCACAGAAATTAAAATGGATTTATACAAAATGATATGTGATACAAGTCTTCTAATTACATATGTTGCAAAATTAAAGGTTTGTTTAAAATAAACAGGAGTACAGGTGGGATGAGATACACTGGAGTCTAACAAGTTGAATGGCATGACATAATTAGATCCTTAGTCAAAGCAGAAGTCCTCATGAGGATTCTAAACTGCAGAGTTAAAAGGTATTGGTTTGATTTAACTGGAGTGGGTTTTGCTAGGCTTGTAGCAGTATTGAGATGAGGGTTTGACAAAGGCTTCTCTATGTCACTGCGCTAAATGAAGCCAGTAAACGGACAGAAAACATTATGGCTTCACCAATGAAACTCTAGCAAGCCATTATGTTTGGCTAAAAAACATTCAGGCCGATGCTACGACAACAGAACTGTACAAAACAGTTTGTTCCGAGACTAGTGCATGCATGCCATGAATTTGCCCATCATGGTGTACATTCCGCTGTGACTCACTGCTATAACAAATACAATCAAATTGTTCAGAAGTGGAAGCATTGACATATAGTGAAGTATTAGTCGATGGAGCCTCTTTTATGGGTCTAGCTGTTAACCCATCACCAACGTAAACCTTGCTTGCTATTATTACGATGTGGAAAAAAAAAAGTAATTCTAACCAAAATTGTCTGTCATTGGAAAACATACGTAGAAACTGTGGTCGAGACTGGTGTTCAGTGACATCACTTCTTTGCCCCCATTATGTTTTGCACCAGGTCCATTGGCAGAGGGAATACAATGGTGGAGTTTTTCTCTGCAGCGATAGTGGTGAGGGTCTGCAGGTAGCGAAGCTGCAGGGCTGCTGGAGATTCTGAGATCACAATAGAAGCTTCTTTCAACGCTCTGGACGCGTTCATCTCCCCTTCGGCTGCAATTACCTGCGAGAACAAAAAAGGGTCAGTGATCTGGAAGAGACTTGGCAACATCCAAAGATGTGCAGGTTAAGTGGGCTGGTCATGGGAAGTTGCCCCATAGTGTCCAGGGATGCGTAGGTTAGGTGGATTGGCCATTGGAAACTGCCCCATATTTTTCAGGGATGTGCGGGTTAGGTGGATTGACCTTGGGAAATACAGGGTTACAGAGATAGGGTAGGGGCCTGGGTTTGGGTGGGATGCTCTTTGGAGGGTCAGCGCAGACTCCATGAGCCAAGTGGCACAGTAGAGATTCTAAAACCACAAGAAAGACAGAACTCATTGTTAAAGGAGAAAACTTCCTAGAATGTGGCAGAAAATGTGGTTTTGACGTGTTTAGCTGGGGTTAGAAAAATTCAAGGGGGTAGGAAATACTTGTGTTGCGAGATCTGTAAAGGCAGTTCCAACAAAACCTCAACTGAGCCTCCACCCAATCCACATTTCCTCAGCGGTGTCCTGAACAGCTGTGCTTTGGGTGAATTTAAAATCAGGCCCTTTTTCAGAACGGACCCAGAGCAGAAGAATCAAACCTTGGGAAGAGAGTTTGGGAGGGGCTGTTTAAATATCAATCCAAGCACCTCAAAGTGCTCCACACTCAAATGCTTCCTTTTGAGGCATCAAGGCACTTAAACCAGGCACATGGTGACAGAGAGAGTTAAGTAGGCAGAAATAGTAGGAACTGCTGATGCTGGAGAATCTGTGATAACAAGGTGTAGAGCTGGATGAACACAGCAGGCCAAGCAGCATCAGAGGAGCA